GCTGGAACCGGCAGGCCCTGACCGCAGCTCTTCCTCTGGCCCTTGGGCCGGCTCAGTTCTGTCACCGGACCCGGCGGGGTGAGGCCGGGGACTAAAATCACTTGTGTGTAGCTGGGGTGTCTACTGGGAGGCTGCAGGGTGTCCTGGAAGTCGTACGGCCACAGGGCTGCTCCAGGGACGCCCGCGCGCATGCTTCCAGCTCCGCAGCGACAGTGTCTGTTTCAGAATCCGGCGAAAGCGTCTGAGCTGGGAGAGGGTGCTGCGTGGAGGCCCTCCGGGAGGGACCCCAGTGGAGGCCTGGGGGATAAATACCCCCCCACGACTGCTCAAGGTGCACACTACTTCATCATGTGCTCAAAAGCACTAATTTACAAGTTAAAAAAATTGGGGGGGGGTACTTAGGTTTTTATTTGTATTTTTTAATGGAGGTACTGGGAATTGAACCCAGGACCTGGTGCATCTCTACCACTGAGCTGTACGCTCCCGGCTAAAAGCATTAATTTATGAAATGGCAGGTTTTAACACGGACCATGCCTTTCAAAACCTAGTTTTAGCGTGTCCTCCTTTCTAACCTTTCAGGGCCGGTCCCTTGGCCTCTTGGCCCCACACAGGAACCATCCTTGGCAGCCATCCCCCAGCTCTACTGGGCGGCTCCCTCCCTGTTCCGGGACCCTCCTCTAATGGCCCTCCCACCTCCACTTCCCCAGCCCCTATCTGAACCTCCCCCTCCAGGGTCCTAAGGTGACCTCCCCTCAGCAGGTCAGATGGCCCCACCCTCTGAGCCCTCCCCTCCAGATGCAGGCGCTGCCTAGGTTGGCGCCTCTTCCCAGCGGTCATTTCCGCCAGGCTGCGAGGGGCTCAGGCTCGCCCGTGTCCACTGGGGTCCCCCTTCCCTCCCTCTACACCTGGCCGGGTAAAAGCTGTGTAACCCACGTTTGGCCTCAGCTTCCTCACTTGGCTTCGGAGCAGCCTCCGGAGCTGCTAGGGACCGGCCACCAGGTTTGCTGCCCTTCTGCTGCCTTCCTAGGACTCCGGATGATTCGGCGCAGGCGGGGTTTCCCACCGAACCCGCACCTGCGCGCCCGAAGAGTCGCGTCCCGCCTGCAGAGGGCAGCGGGCTGGGTGGAGGCCAGCGGGAGTGGGAGACCCGCGCTCTCCGGCCCGTCTGCAGTGGGTGGCCCTGCAGCCCCGCCCCGACACGCGACCGGAGCCAACTCCCTCCTCCTGAACGGGCTCTTCCGGCGGCCCCAGCCCTGCGTCTGGCACTTGGTTCCGGGGGTCCAGCTGCTTAAGTCCTGAGACCCGCCGGGTTCTAGCCATCACGGCCCCCACTCGTCTAGGCCACCTCCACCGACAGCGGGGACGACGGCCAGGGGAGGCCCTGCCCCTCCGAAGACCACTGTCCACGCCCCTCCTTCAGACATATCGGAGCCGGGGAGGTGTGAGTGAGAAGTGAGGCTGACCCCTGGTGGCCGCATCGCTGTCCTCCTGTCCCATCTCTCCAGCCCGCGTGGCCTCGGGACGCTCTCGCAGAGCAGGCGCCACGGCCGCCCCTTCAGCCCAGCCCCTCGCTCTCAGGGTGGGCTCCTCCCCCGCCGCCACGCCCCCTCACGCTCCTCCCCCCCGCCCTCCCAAGGAGCCCAGGCGGCTTGCTTGTGCTTCTGGCAGAGACCGGAGGTGTCAGTGTGGGGGCGTGGTGGGCACGTTCCACGCCTGCCGGGCGGTAGTTTGGGAAGAGTACACGGTGGGCGGTGTTGGAGTCCCAGGCCCCAGGTGTGAAGAGGCAGAGAGCCCCACGCTCTCCCATGGCCTGGGAAGCGGTGGGTCTGTCTGGGTAGGCCCGTTCCTCACACCCCCTCTTTCCTAGGGGGCCAGGTCTGCTGCTGCCTCGAGGAGCCTCAGCGGTGGCCCTCCCTCCCTCCCGGGTCCACCTCCCTCCGCCCTCAGGGGATGCAGCAGGGCAGGCAGAGTGGGCCAACAGGGGCAGGTGCTCCCCTGGCCCCTCCCACTCCTCAGCCCTCACTTGGGGTCCTCCTGCCCACGGCCCTGAGGCTGGTGCAGTCCAGAGTGGGTGTGCAGGCCTTCCCTGCTCCAGTCAGTGGGCTCTGAGGCTGTCCCGGCTCAAGGTAATTCCCACCACCTCTGCCCAGCCAAGGGCACATCTCCTTCTGCAGGCGGGGGCCCTCTATCCTCCAGGCCGAGGAGGGCCTCTGGCTGGCAGGGCTGGGCCACGCTGGGATGACCTCATGCAGGTAAGTTCGTCAGAAAGAAAGTGGACCGAGTCACCACCCGTGGCCAGGCCCTGTGGCCTTGCAGCTGTGCCCCTGAGAGACAGGGTGGGAGGGATTCGGGGTCGAGGCTGGTTCAGATGGGTTGAAGAGTCACCTGGGTGACCCTTTGCTGCATTTGATAAGTCCTCAGTGAGACTGAGCAGCTTGGAAAGGGGCTCTCTGGTGACCCTGGACCGGACCTCGCCTGGAAGGTCTGACTCCAGGTCTTTGACTTTGGTGAAAGGAATGGGATTTTGGGATTGAATTAAACATAAATTTAAAGGTGAGATTCTGAAGATAGGAAGCTGAAGCCAGTGATACTAAAATAAAACAACTGTATGTGAGGACGTAGAACTCCCAGGCATATGTGGTGATTTAAGTTAATTTAGGTGAAAAAAATTCAGTTCTTCAGTCGCACTGGCCACGTTTTAACAGCTCAGTGCCCACACGTGGCTGGTGGCTGTCAGACTGGACAGTGCCTTCGGGAACATTCCCATCATCCCAGTGAGTTCTGCCTGGTGGTGCTCTGGACATACAGATGTGCTGGGTATTATTAGAGACAGCAGTGAACCAGGGCAAGTCAGACAAGCACCCCCTTGTAAATACAGTGAGGACCACAACCCCTGGGATCTTTGGAAAGGGACCTCGTTCTGGGAGACTGGTGACAAAGATGACAGGCACTGAGGACAGCAGCAGCCACAGTGACTCAAGTGATCTGTGATGACATGGAAATGGGACAGGCTGGCCCAAGATCTTCCGTGTGTGGGACCGAGTCACACGGGGCCAGAGAGTGCAGGTGGGGGCAGGGAGGGCCAGCACCAAGCTCTAGGAGCAGAGGTGTAAGCCTCGGGGAGGGGTGGCGGGGCTCGGGGCACAGGCCCTTCTGCTCTGCTTACAGAGGCAGGTCTTCGGAAGAGGATCATGTGGGTGATGCTGACAAAGCTGAGTGAAATACCTCGTAGAAGAAGTAACCACAGACTTCAGGCGGGATTCTTCACTGCCCAGTCGAAACAGTAGAGACGTACTGTCCATCAGTCAGGGATCTGACCTTTCTCCGAGGCCAGAAGGGCCCTTGAGGGACTAGATTAGAACCAAGAGCTCAGAGAGCAAAGAAAAGGGTGCCCACAGGGTGTGCTGAAGGTGCAGGACGTAGGTCAGGCCCACCCAATAGGCAGGAAAACCTGCCTAGAAAGGATAGTGGCTCTCACGTGGGTAAATGGTGAGCAGAGGCCAGCCCCGGAGATACCCTGCCTACCGGTGATGGAGGGCAGGCGGGGCTGCATCTGACTGCGAGGCCCGGGCAGAGGACCAGGCCGAGTCTCGCTCAGGGTCTGTGCCAGGACTCTGCAGGGCTTGGATCATCCATTAAAAAAACCATTAGGGTCTTTCCAGGTGCACATCGTAAGTGAGGAAGTCTGGGAGACGGCAGTGTGTGGACAGGGCGGGCAAGGCGGGCAGGGTGGGTTCCAGTGTGTCGGAGAAGCCT